TACAATTTCATTTCATTATCTAGTTTTCTGTTTTATAGTAATAAGTTTTTGTTTTGTTGTTCTGAGTTCTTTCTATTCTATATATAGTTTTTCTAAATTATATGTATATGATTATTCTTATAGGATTGTATATACTAGTTATTTAATATAATTGGGTACTTTGCCAAAATCATAAAGTCGTAGTGTAACTTCACTCAAACTCTACTTTTATTCCCACAGTTTCGAAACCAGTGATGGTCAAACCGCAAGGAGGAGGGTAAATTTGTGGGTCCCGATCAAATTTTAACGGTTTACGGAACTTACACCTACAAAGACCAGAACGACGAAAAGTTCCAGGTGTCCTATGAGGCCGACGAAAAAGGCTATAGAGTCTTGTCAATTCAGCAACGAGGAAAAGAACCGAAGAACTCATTTTCGTGCCTGTTGTACCCGAAACATTATCATCGCATGTTTTAGCATCTTTGGTCGGATAAAAAATTATATTTTTATGCAAAGTTGATGATGTGACGATATTTTTAAGATATAATATATGTATAAATTAGAGCTGTCAAAAACCGTCATTTTTGAGAACCGATTCTGAGGATTCACTAGTGGTGTAGGGCATCGTGCCTTAAGGAAAATTGCTGGAACTTTCCGTTCCGTAACGAAATGTTCGAGAAATATTAAATGTTTTCAAATAGATTATTATAAATACTGTAACAGTGTATAATATTTATAAGAATTAAATAAACTGAATCACAAAATCAAAAATATTTAAAATATTTTTTTTGCAAAAATAATTGTTTTATCAACACAAGCAGAAAGTTTTTGAATCATTCAAATCGGATGTTCATTTCTCTCAAAAACTGCCATTTTTGTATATTTAGCTCTGTATCTTCGAAATGGCTGGGCCAGCTTTGACAAAAACTAATAGCCATTTCTCCCAATCATTACTAATTGAAAATGTTCAGAAACCTTCAAAACGTCGAGAAATGCAATAATTTTCATTTTCGATTCTTGACCCATTGCTATAACTACCCTACTGGAAGTTAATTCTGGATCCCGGAAAAATCCGGACCGTTCCCGAAAAAAATTTTGTCCTCGGATTAATACTACATAGTGAATGCAGAATTATTTTTGTTCTTGAGTTTTTTTAAGCCTTTGAATTTCTTAATATAATTATAAGTTTGTAATAATTTTTTGTGTATTTCTATTTTGTTATATATTTGTTTGGCATAAATGCAATGCAATTCTCGAATTCGAATAATATTCAGTCCGCTTTCATTATTAGGTTATATGTATTTTTCACAAACTTCTAAATAAATTTTTTATAAACTTCTAAACAAATATAAATTTTTAGTCAATAAAATTCAGGCATATAACGCTTTCAAATCTTACTGCTCTATTGTTAGGCGGCAAGAATTAAAAACACGCATAGTATCATTTGTTCCAAGATTACTCACATATAGGTCTTATAATGCCAGTGTTCCATAATCCCGAATACCGGGATCCCGGAGGATTTTTGTCCGGTTTTCAATATCGGTATTGATATAAAAATACTGGTATTTCGCTATTACTAGAATTATGTTAAAAATTGAACTCACGCAATATGTTTTACACATATCGAGCCTAGTACGACGGCAATATCGACAAGCGGCGGCAAAACAAAGTATTCGTTTATACTGAACGTCTTGAGACCCGATATTGTTTATATGTGGCGCATGTCATGTAAAATTCGTTATCACGGTTTTAAACATAATATACAATTGACACGATAAAAAAATTATACTGTATATCTTCCTATGAATCATTCATATTTTTTATTATTTTATTATTATGAAAATTCACTATGTCTAATCAAGAGTGATAAGTAGTTTGAAAATCAATGATAAGATTGGTCTCGGCAATGGATGATTTCTTTCTTATGCGTACGTTTCCTTGCAAATTCCTTGAAATCTTTCACATCAAATTATGATTTGATCAAGTACTAATCCATACCGAGTAATAATGTATTATATCTTAATGACAATTGTGCCGACAAGTGAAGAATGAGAAAAAGCATTTTCGGCTGCTTGTTGTATTTGTAAGATTCGGTCATCGCTTAATGATGAAAAATGGATTGTTTATGTTTGTAAGAGGATATTTCAATAAACAAAACATAAGTTATTAATTTTCTTTTCAGTTTTTTTTAAACAATAATTATTGATATTGATATTACGGTATTAGAACTCCTACATAGGCAAATTGCTACTTACGCTAAATTTGGTCTCTAACAATTCAAAATGACTAATTTTTAAACAAAATTAGGCTTTGAAATGCTGCTTACAACTAGGGAATTTTACCGGTGCCCCAAATTTGGGGAACGGCTCCAGCACCGGTGCCAGAACCGGAACCGCGCTGGGGCCGGCTCCGGTTCACAGCTCTAGTGCGTATATCATTTGTGTTCTATATGCTACCGTCTTGTCCTATTTTTATGCAATGGTTCCGTCGTTATTTCATTCCAGTGATTCAGTAGAAACGTCCAAAGCTGTTTCGTATTAGTTGGTTGGAATTCTTTCACTTAAGACAGAAAATTATCTGTTCAACTCGTCCCACAGCAACTCATCCGTCGACTTAGGAGGCCATTCCATATATTTGAGTTCTTTCTTTCTTCTCTTGACTCTTTTGAAGTACCCGGAATTTTCGTTTTTTCAAAAAATATTTATTTATTCGTCTACATTAATGTGGTCCCCTTCAAAGTAGTCCCCCCCAGATATAATACACTTATGCCAGCGTTTTTTCCAATTTTCGAAGCACCCTTGATATTCACTTTTTGATATGTCCTTGAGCACTCTCAGCGATTTTCTTCAATCGAGGAAAACCGCCGTCCTTTCATGGGTCTCTTCAACTTTGCGAATAGGAAAAAGTCACACGGAGCCATATCTGGTGAATTTTTGCACTTTGCAACACTTTATTTCATTTTTTACGCAAAATTTAATACAAATTCTTTGACTTTTCAATTCTTCCATTGTAAAAATCGCCGAGCTCAGAAAAACACGTCGAACCTTAGCGACTACCACAGACAAAGTAAACAGTGAATATAGTTGAAAATTTCATCATACTTTAGGGGCATGTATACCAACACAATAAAAAAAAATTTTTGACAATCAGACACTCCAGACCCGCGAAATTTAATTATTAGTAATTCCGGGTACTTTTTGAACACACCTCGTATATATATATGTATATATTATATATATATATATATATATATATATATATATATATATATATACACAGTACAGGCCAAAAGTATCCGGACACATAAAAAAAATCTCATTTTCTGAGTTTTTAACTATATTTTTCAAATAAAAATAATTTTATTCAAGTTAGTTTTGTACATTCTAAATAGTATTAATATTTAGTGACTGATTTGTAACCAATTTGTGAGAAATGATAGACTAATTAGCAATAAAAATGTTAAAATGTCACTGCAGTCGATTTTCTTGAATATGACCACCCTTTGCTTTTTGCAATGTTTGCGCAGGTATGTTCTTCCTGTTCCACAGGGCAGGAAGGCTGGTTGGATGCAAATCTTTCACGCGGCGTTTAAGCTCGTCCCACAACAGGCCACTCCATTATTTGAAGTATTTTTTCGTCTTGTTTTTGCTTCAAATAATTGGCACAGAATCGGGAAGTGTGTTTAGGGTCATCATCTTGTTGAAAAATACATTTTTGGCCAATTAAATTAAGACCAGATGAAATGGCGTGGCGCTGAAGTATGCTATGATACTGTTCTTTCTTTAAAGTTCCATGTATTTTGACAAGCAATCCGACTCCATTGAATCCAAAACAACCCCAAGCCATCACTGAACCACCACAGTGAAAGTGATTTAAAAGAAAAAAACTTCGTATATGCTTCTTATTTGCACGATAGCTCACTCATTTTACACGCAAAAAACGTGTAACAGCACTCATTTTAAAGCTTATGTTGAGCACTATAAAACCAAATTTCACCGAAATGCATAAAATGTAAAACATTGACACTAGATGGCTTTAAATACAACAATTAAATCTTGAACGAAATAAAAAACGACTTTGCTCTTTTAAATCTTGACACACATAAAGAGTAGTGTTGGTTTCATTTATTCTCTGTTTGTTTACATTATCAGAAATAATAATAGTGAAGAGAACTGCGAAGGGTCATAATGACGGCATTTACAAAGGATATTGGATTTCATATAAATTGGAATCCGTAAACAACCAAATTTCTTGTTACGCATATGTTATAATACTGCAATATTAAAATTTTGATAATAGGGTCAAATTATATCATCCTCTTTGCTCATAGTTTCTAAATACCAGGTGGGCAAAAAGTTTTTGTCGTTGTCTATTTCATATGTGATTTTATCTCCAGGGTTCCAACTAAATAATATGGTTTGATTTTGATGAGTTCGAGCTATTTTTTGCATAAAATAAAGAACTTCTTTACAAAAATTCATACAATCTGTTGCACTCCAAAAGTTGTCATTACTTTTAGGAATATCTTTAACTTTATAAGGCTTTATTTCGAGTAAAATTCCATTATCATCTCTGCAGCCACATAAAATTTCATCTATACCTACCAGAAAGCTTTGGCACCACCATTTCATTGATTTGATTTTTTTAAAATTTCTACTTTGGTTTTCTGTGGTAATAATTCTATTTGTTTTCAATTCTACAAATTGTGCTTTATCTAAATCTTTGAAATTAAAATACAAATTAGTTGTATTTATACCATCCATTTCAGCTCCATAAAAAAGTCTTAAATCATCTAATTTACTCTTGAATACACAACAAAATTCTTCAGATTCAATTACAGGTATTGTAATATCAGGTTTTCTTTGGGGACTTGAACTTAGTAAAAACTGTTCAAATTTATAGCCCCAAGACATAAACTTTCTTTGATACTTGATATCTTTAAGCCGTTTCATTTTACTTTTTTCAGATTCCCAAGCACACAGATATGTTGTTCCTTTCCAGTTTTGGGCTAATATATTCCAACCTTCACGATTTTCAAAGGGCGTACACATTAATTTGGTCAATAGACCCCTAAAACAGACTATATCAAAATTTATTAAATTCGTAGTTGCTGCTGGGCTACATAATTGCTTTCGATTATAAACAATGAATTTTAATAGATGATCTAGTTTTTCTTCGTGAGCTTTCTCATCTTTATGAACTGTTTGATTAATGCCATTATTTAAATTGAATCCGATATTTGTCATACAAGCAGGCATGTGCAAGAATTTGAGTTGAGACAAGTCATGAGCGACATTTCTGTCGGCGTCAACACTAAAATGACCTATTACTGAAGGTCTGGAGAACTTGGGAAAAATTTGTTGTGAATTTTTAAAATCGCTTGGATATATGTCTTCATTCATATTTTCCTTTTGCTACAAAGTAAAATGAAGAAAATATATATAAATCTAAGAGTAAAGAGCAAAATTAATTGATAGAATGTTCATAGAATACTTACTTTTTAATACGTTAATACGAATACGTTAATAACCACTGTGTATATAAATAAAAAAAATAAAAAAAAGGTTTAGTCTGGTTTAGTCAATCAATTATTGCAAGATGACAAAATACAATTAAACCAATTAAACAAAGTTGAAATTGAAACCATGAAACCATGTGTGTAAAGCTTATTTATCAATGGTTCAAAGTATATGACATTGACAGTAGGATGAGGATAGTAGCATAGATCCATACATAGATGAAAGAAGATGGATGTATTCATATCCCATTTTTTACGTTTAGCAGGGATATTTAAAGGGTCCTTCGCTCAGACTTGAGGGCGCTGCTTTTGGCATTCAAATCAAGGGCGCAAAATTTGAAATAAAAATTAATAAATTTTAGTAATTGAGTATTTGAAACTAAATTTGGTATTACAATCGTATTTGTTTTGTAATAATACAATAATAACAAACATATACTAGATAATATTATATTATAATAAATAGACAATCAAATCGAAATATAAATTTTCCAGTTTAAATATACATAATACCTATTCTACTAGAATAACTTCACACTTTTTTTACTTATTAATATCAACTTTCGTAAAATTTAGTGAATAATGCTTTATAGTGTTAGTTCATTACATCGTCTGGTATTCTTAACTCTCATTAACTAATAATCATCCCGTGCAAAATTTGACATTCTAAAGCAATTCATTTTCTTTTAAGTATATTCAGATCCGTGTGAAGTGGTAATCCAATTTTAAACAGCTGGAAGATTTCCAAATATTATGTCTTTCTTGTAGAAACTTATACTTGATTTCTTAGATAATTTCCTATAACTAACATAATAAAAGAACTTGCCTCTTTTCTTAAAGTTTAATATGATTAGGCTATTCTGTCGATGATTTATGTCCTGTATCTTTTTGTCAACTGATTCAAAAATAACACTGACTTTTCTTACTAAACTGTACCAGTAATATACATTTGTTCGGAGATAACTCCCCATGCATATTCGCTCCGAGCGTGACTGCAGCGCCCATGCAGCGCCGTAATAAATATGAACTGATTGGGGCTATCAGTGTGTGTTTTTCATGGGTTTTACATGTTTGTTAAAGAAAAAAGATATTAAATAATTGTTATAAATAATAATAAACAAGATACAGTAATAATGTGAATGCTGAATGTTTATTGAAATTATTAAATTTACTTCAACGTACTTAAAACATAGTTAAGTATAATCATTAATTAAATAAAGAAATGCAGTAAATAATTTTAAGGTTAAGTGCCTCAAAGCTTATGTCATAAACTCGGAATAGTTCTTAATAAAAACAATATAATAATATGATAATAATGATAAATAATATTTTATCAATAGAATAAGTAAATAGTAAATTAATTTATTCAATTTTTTAATCAAACTAAAGACTTAGACATTATTATAAAGACATAATTTAGACATTATTATAAAGACAAGACCGATCAAATAAAATTGCAGGAAAAAAACTACATTAACTTTTCGAAATTAACTTATTGAAGAAAATATTGTTGACAAGTAGGTAGGACTCAATACCTCGACCGATTCACTGCAAATGCTTGGGAACCCACGGTGATCCATCAACACTACAAATATATATTTCGCATTATTTCAGCATTGTATTAATTAAACTGTTTGCAAAATAAACATTTTTTCGCTATGTGATAACTTTTATTTTTCTTTTAATCATAAAATTACAATTATTATATAATAAAATGTAATTAATATATAAATAATAGTTATACATAATCAATATACAATATATAAATATGTATTTTTCATTATTTCAGGCTTGTATTAATTACATTCTTTTATAAAACATTTTTTTAGTAAGCATTAAATTTTGATAATACAACAATTTATTGACTTATAATTTTTCTTTTTGCTAAACATAACAATTTTACAACTATTCATAATACTCCAAATTGTATTTTTATAACAATAAGGTTATGATACTTACTTTATTCTTCTAACCGCTGCGATCCACTTTTCCCGTTGATTTTCTTTCCACTTAGCTGTACAAAATGTATAGAATTTGCAGTCACTTTTTCTGCTGGTATTTCTACAACCCACTACACAACAGATATGGTGGCTCATTTTTAATTATCTTATTTAAATTTGAAATAAATAAATATTTTATGTGTTTTTGTTTAAAATTTTGTTTATAATAGCCCCTTCTAGTGCTTCAAGTTAGCCACTACGAACGCTTCGGTCGATTTGACTTCCCCTTCCATGCCTTCGCACATAGCCAATACTCTTCTTTTATCTATGTAATCAGCTTACCATGTTTCCATAGACCTTATACAATTTCATTGTATATTGTATTATGGCTATGTGCGAAGGCATGGAAGGGGAAGTCAAATCGACCGAAGCGTTCGTAGTGGCTAACTTGGAGCACTAAAAGGGGCTATTATAAACAAAATTTTAAACTAAAACACATAAAATATTTATTAATTTCAAATTTAAATAAGATAATTAAAAATGAACCACCATGTCTGTTGTGTAGTGGGTTGTAGAAATACCAGCAGAAAAAGTGACTGCAAATTCTATACATTTTCTACAGCTAAGTGGAAAGAAAATCAACGGGAAAAGTGGATCGCAGCGGTTAGAAGAATAAAGTAAGTATCATAACCTTATTGTTATAAAAATACAATTTGGATTATGAATAGTTGTAAAATTGTTATGTTTAGAAAAAGAAAAATTATAAGTCAATTAATTGTTGTATTATCAAAATTTAATGCTAACTAAAAAAATGTTTTGTAAAACAATGTAATTAATACAAGCCTGAAATAATGAAAAATACATATTTATATATTGTATATTGATTATGTATAACTATTATCTATATATTAATTACATTTTATTATATAATAATTGTAATTTTATGATCAAAAGAAAAATAAAAGTTATCACATAGCGTAAAAATGTTTATTTTGCAAACAGTTTAATAAATACAATGCTGAAATAATGCGAAATATATATTTGTAGTGTTGATGGATCACCGTGGGTTCCCAAGCCCTATGATCGCATTTGCAGTGAATCGGTCGAGGTATTGAGTCCTACCTACTTGTCAACTTGGTCTTGTCTTTATAATAATGTCTAAATTATGTCTTTATAATAGTGTCTAAGTCTTTAGTTTGACCAAAAAATGAGTAAATTAATTTATTATTTACTTATTCTATTGATAAAATACTATTTATCATTATTATATTGTTTTTATTAAGAACTATTCCGAGATTATGACATAAGCTTTGAGGCACTTAACCTTAAAATTATTTACTGCATTTCTTTATTTAATTAATCATTATACTTAACTATGTTTTAAGTACGTTGAAGTAAATTTAATAATTTCAATAAACATTCAGCGTTCACATTATTACTGTAACTTGTTTATTATTATTTATAACAATTATTTAATATCTTTTTTCTTTAACAAACATGTAAAACCCATGAAAACCACACACTGATACCCCCAATTAGTTCATATTTATTACGGCGCTGCATGGGCGCTGAAGTCACGCTCGGATGCATGTTTCCCAAGTCTATCTACTGCTGGACATGTCTATGGTTCAATGGAAAAAATGACATTTGTTTTGTAAATATTAACATCATAATCTGTCATAACCTTTGAATATAAAATAATATAAAATAGTTAATAACGCAAATTTCCATTACATTTACTAAAACTGTTTAAATATTTTTTTATCTTCAATCTAATTTGAGTGCTCTTTTCAATAATAAAATATTATTTGCTATTCACAAACATGGACAGTGAAAAAGCCCCAATCGTATTTAAATCAACGAAAAAAAAACCTATACGAAAACGAAAAGATTCATCAGAAGACGAAGAGTCTACAGAGGATAATTCGTCAGAAATAAAGTATATAATTCATACTGTAATTATTATTTTAAATGAAATTGAATTTTACAAACGTTCTGTTTTTTGTAGCTCAAAGTTGGAAGAAATGAAAGAACTACAAAAACTGCGCAAGAGACCAAATGGAGTTAATGTTATTGGTTTAGCTTTGGGTCAAAAAATTAGTTTGGCTGAAGAAGTTACCGCAGTATGTGAAATTTTCTGAAATAGTTAATCTAACAATGCTAGTTTTTTTCATCCTTGGCTAGACGTTTCTCATATGTTTGCAGAAGTATAGTATATAGTTTTAGAGTTCTTATAAAAACTATTTTATCTTGAAATCCATTGATTATTTTTTACAAAATAACAGTTAACATATACTTAACTCTTCCTCTATTGAATCAAATAAAAATAATACCATGATTCTTGACCATTATTTTGGAGCGGTTTTCACACTAATAAAATACAACATGTTTTAGAAAATTCCCTTAACAATCTTCACGAGGATTTATGAAAATCCGAATATTCGAATCCGAGGATTAACCATTCATACCCTGTTACAGAAGAATTTTATATATAAGATATATATATATATATATATATATATATATATATATATATATATATATCTTATATATATCTTATATATGTAATATATATATATATATATATATATATATATGTGTGTGTTTTATCACTTTGGAACCATTTGAGTTCCGGGGAGCAAGGAAATTCGAAAATGACCATTTTAAGGACCACCCTAATATATATATATATATATATATATATATATATATATATATATATATATATATATATATATACATAGCTGGGCACCGTTAATCAAATAGTTAACTTCGTTAATCGTTAATCCGCTACAAAAAAAGTTAACTTCGTTAAACGTCAAAGCGTTACATTTCGGAAGAATTAACGCAAGTTAACGTTAATCGTTAATCCGTTAATATGTGTAAAATTACATTTTTATATCGTTGCGTTAGTGAACTTAAAAAACTTATTAACTTCCCGTAGGCAAGTTATAGTAATCGCAAAAAAATCAAAAATGAAAATTTTTATATATTTTTACGTTTCAGAGGTTTCTGAACATTTTGGCATACCTTAGAAAAAATGGATGTATGTGTGTGTGTGTATGTGTGTGTGTATGTATGTGCGGATACAAATTTTCGTCGACGATTTCGGGAACACGGATCAACCGATTTGAATAATTCAAAAAACATTCGATTCGTATTGATAAGGAGACGTGCTGATTAGTTTTTAGAGAAGGCAGGTCTAGCCGTTCCGAAGATACGGGGCAAAAGGTGCCGAAAACGGTAACTCAGTTTTTAAGAGAACGGAGCGTCCGGTTTGAATAATTCAAAAAACATTTCACTTGTATTGACAAGATGAAGAATCGATAAAATTTTCATGAAGGTAGGTCTAGCGGTTTCGATGATCTAATGAAAAAAGTAAAAAAAAAAGCCATTTAATGGTCAAAATGATCATTAGACATATGCACATCAAATTATCAGATATTTTATAGAGATTTTAACAATAAGTATAATTTTATTTACATTCCTATGGGTTCCGTACCAATGTTTATCCTTTAGACAGCGACGCGGCGCTTTATATTTTGTCTCTATGCAGTCCTAAAGCAGTAAAATTGCTTTGAAAAAAAGTTCAGATCTTCCAAAATATGTCAAAATAAAGAAAACATTTTTTTTTTCAAAAAAAATTAATTTTTTGTCCAATAGTTTATAGTTTCTCAAAAATCTTATTTTTTCGAAGTAAATTTTTTTCAAAAATGTTAATCGTTTTTAAAAAAATAATAATTTTAGGTACGGAAAGTACCAGCAATTTGCCTTAAGGCACAACGCCTTAATTGCCTTAAGACAGAATTCCACTTACAGCTAGTTCTTTAAAGAGTTTGTAGCTCTTTGGTTTTTCTATAGACTGAGTGACAGAATTGAAAAAGTCTTCCTTCTCGACATCATCGTTGTTACTCGCATTGCTCCCTCCGCCACTTAAACTATCTCTGTCCTTCGAATTTTTCGAAGCTTCTTGCCATAAGGCATCTTCTACCTTTTTTAAGCCTATGGCTAAAGCTGTGCCGTGCGGTAAATAGTAGGCATTGGATTAACGATTAACGGACTTCTCGCATTTTAACGGAAGTTAACGTGTCCGTTAACATTTTTAAAAGTTAACTTAAAAGTTAATCCGTTAATCAAAATGTTAACTTCGTTAATTAACGATTAACGGATTAACGAGTTAATGCCCAGCTATGTATATATATATATATATATATATATATATATATATATATATATATATATATATATATAAAGCTCTAAAATTTTATTACAGAAAGATCCATTTAGTATAAAATCAGGAGGAATGGTAAACATGGCAAATTTGAAGAATTGCAATTTAAAGTCTGACGATGATGCTTATAATACTGGCATCGGAACACAATTTTTTGCAGAAACTAATAAACGTGACGAAGATGAAGAAATGATGAAGTAAGATAATATTAGGTGAAGTAAAAAGAAATCCATTATTTTTTAATGAAGTTCAAGGCTTTCTACTTTTAGAATAATCCGATTTAAGTCAATTATGCACAGTTTTATTCAATAATTTTGAAGGTAATGTCTCTATGCTTCTCTCGTTTAAACCCACGTCGCTATTGGAAAAAAATGAGACAATCAATTTTTACAAACCTCTCTCGAAGTGAATTTTTGACCAGCAAATCTGTTCTCCATGGACAGATAATCGGTTAGTGCCAAGTCTGAACTATGAGATGGATGCATAAAAACTTCCCAATCAAGCTCCATGTGCTTCTGGAGAGTCCCTATCGATGTACGTGGCCAGGCGTTGTACTGATAGAACACAATTTCTTCTATTGGCCAAAACTAGCTACCTCTGGGCAATTAATTATTTCAGACAGTACAATTATTGACCATAGAAGATTAGCTCACAACAGAAAAATAACCGCCACGTTCACCCAATCCCAATCATGGCTTTGCGTCCATTTCTGTGCTGATCGATTTACATGACGGTTGGACTCTATGATTTTGTCGACATTTTTGAAAATGGGCAATCCAGTGAGCGTGCGTCTTTGGCATCGAAGTCACCAAATTGAATCGACGAAACCATAATTAGCGACGAAGCGCATAATTAGCTATTACAGTATCAGGACCATAAACACTATTCAGCCGCCTGAAAATGTGCGTTTTTGCCTTTATTGAACTAAGTGTAAAATAGAGAGTATTATTTTCTCTTTAGTGCAGTAAACGGAGAGGAAAAAAGGGTATAACCTCTGAATTTTTTTTACTGTGCTCCGAATTGAATGAAATTTTGGAATTAGGTTCATCTTACCCTCAAGTTCAAAAGTGAAAACAATTCGGGTTGCGCCATCACCCCCCCCCCCCGGGGAAACGGCACCCCTTCTCAATTGTGTAATTACATTTTTTCAAAATAACGTCGGAAATCGAAAGAAGAACTAATTATAAGAAACAAATGTCTTTTATAGTTTTTCAAAAAAACTAATACTTTTCAAGTTACTGGCCACTAAAGATTCATATATTTTTGGCGTTTTTCTTCGATTTTCTGCAAATATCTCCTAAAATATACATTTTAAAAAAAATCATGTAATGAACAAAATAATGTCAATAAAAATCTTAATAAATCGGTGTTACATAAAGTGTTCTAGGAAAAATATTAAGCAAAATTTGAAAGAGCAAAGTCGTTTTTTATTTCGTTCAATATTTAATTGTTGTATTTAAAGCCATCTAGTGTCGAGGTTTTACATTTTATGCATTTCGGTGAAATTGGGTTTTATAGTGCTCAACATAAGCTTTAAAATGAGTGCTGTTACAAGTTTTTTGCGTGTAAAATGAGTGAGCCATCATGCAAATAAGAAGCATATACGGAGTTTTTTTTCTTTTAAATCATATGGTTTAATGAGCGCCATTTCCACCAGAATTAAAGTAATTTACATTCCATCTAGAATTCACTTCATTATAGACATCTTGATGGATTCTAGCAGATTCACTACTTTAGTACAAACTATTTCCATATATTTAACCTTGTTTATGTAATAATAAAGTCAACAGCACTTGACGATCACGAAGTTGAAATGTTTTCGTTCGAAACTTAAATTGAGAAAAAGATTTGCAAATAATATTTAGATTTTTTCAAAGCTTTTATTTTAGTTTCATTCATCAAATCTTTATCGTTCACTGCACATTAATTTATGATCGTTTTATTTAATCATTTTAATTTGTCATGACTTTAATAGTATGAGAATTATTTCAAACGAGTTATTTTGTTAAAGAAACAAATGCTTAATAATGCTATTACAAGATTTTATAAAGATATTTTTTTTAAACAAAGATTTATTGATTTAAACAAAACTTCATTTTATTTTGTGGGTACTTTCCCTACACATAATTACAATTTGCCAAAAAAAACTGATTGATTTTTAACAATATCGATATTGTGAAGAAATAATCTTGAACCTTCAGAGATAATATCTAATTACTATTTAATTTATTTGATATAATTATTTAATACATTTTTTAGGTATATTGAAGAGCAACTGTCACATCGAAAAGGACTTGCAAAGAAAAGTGGCAATGACGATTGTAATTCAGAAGAGCCAAATAAATATCGAACACCCGAAGAAGCTGCTCTTTTAGCAGTACCAGATTATTTAAGACAATCTACAACACAAAGGTAATACATCTATACCACTACGAAAAATGAAACAATTGAATTATTATTTCAATTAGCAAACCTTGTCAGGATCGAATATAGGTTTCAAAGCTACGAAAATTCTGATTCTGAATTTTTTAAAAATTATATTTGGTTTTATAACTTGCATACCAAATGCGAAAAGGTTATAAAAGGGCATTCCATTGTTTGCTGAATAGACTATATTTTAAATATAAAATATACTTTTCTAGCAGATGAATATATAGCTGGGACACATTAAAACTACTTGTTTTTTATATTTTTATTGAATGACCACTTCTCCATTAGCAAATTTTACAAGGCGCGATTCGAAATTCAAACCACGTACAGTGAAAAATAGTAATGACGCAAAACGAGTAGTGAAATTTCTAACATTGCTTATAGAATTTGTATTGATTTAAGTATATTAGAAATTATTATTATTGATTCAATGTAATTATTATATTTAGATCAGAAGAAATGTTGTCTAATCAAATGTTGAGTGGCATACCAGAAGTTGATTTGGGAATTGAAGCAAAGATAAAAAATATAGAAGCAACAGAGGAAGCTAAATTAAAACTTTTATGGGAGCAGAGGAATAAAAAGGATATTCCATCGCAGTTTGTTCCAACGAATATGGCTGTTAATTTTGTTCAACATAATAGATGTAAGTGACAATACATAATATCATTATTAAATAATTAAATTATCATATAAAACGTTTTAAAAAAGAGTCTTAATAAATTAGTCAGTATACCACAACATGGAAGTTAAAATGTAACGGCTTGATTCGCTGCGAAAATCGTAACGGTTTTGTTGTTACATTTTCAGGTTAAAGAGTAAACGCGCAAGTGACTTTGATGCTACTTAAAATATTCATAGAATTTTTTAGAAATATAGAAACACTTCTGAATATTGAGTAATTTTAATAAATATTTTTATTAAGAGTTCAGTAATATACAAGTAAAATTACAAAATTACTAAATTTAAATTTGAATTGAAAATAATAATTAAATTAATACAAAAACTAACAATATTAATGAAGGGTATGAGAGCTTTTTCATACAGAATCGGCTTAATTCTAGTATTTCAACGATTTATAGGTTTTTTTTAAAAAAAAAATCCGAAATACCGATTTTCTTGCTCAACATTTGGTCGAAAAATTAATGAATTTATGTGAAAGTGCTAGTATCTTTTTTTAAATTTATTTTTTGGAGTAACTGTAAACGATATCGAGTAAAAAATAACGAGGTTCTATTCATATTGGTTTGGACTGCATTACTTATAATGATAGTATTTTATTTGTTAGTGCATGATAGTGAAATAATTTATTTTTGAATTGTGTTTGGACTACTTTTTAATCAGCACCATTCGAAAGCCTATAAAAATTACTTGTATTGGCTACAATTTCATTTAAAGTAGAACTAACATATTCAAAAGTTTAAAAAAAACTGGAACTAGTCTAGTGGAATTAAGGCGTGAAAGATGCTTTTCTGTCAATATTTAGTATTTTTAAATATTTGATCCAACTTTGTGTTGTTCATATCAATTGTCTTCAGTATATATTTTCATTTTGTATGTATTTTGTTCTATATCAGCCATTTCAATATTTCTGCAATTGAAAACCAATTTGTATCAGTTTGTGGTCCTCATTCAGAAACTTAGATGATACACAGTACTGATACTGATGGACACCAATTTTCACTATAGACAGTTATTATTTACAGCCATTTTTATCTAATTTTCAGACTATATATAGCCTATTCACTAGAGTGAATTTTAAAATTCGTTTTTAAACCTCGGTGTTTCTGGCATTCATATGTTTGGTAATGACTACAGAATACTGTAACGTAATTACGGTATATGTTTTTTTTTCAATTTTTAGCCTTAATAATTGAGTTTGAAATGACCACTCTTTCGTAAGATGGTTCACGATTTTTTCCACTTTTATTTGCATTGTTCTAATGCCTAGAATATCGTAGTAATGACAGAATCATTTGTTTCTACATTTACATTTCAGTTATATAAATTGAATAAAAATACAGGTAAACCCCGTATATCGCACGGTTCTTATAGGGAACGGATTCACGCAGAGATCTAGGGACATTCCTGTAAACTCGGTAGTTTTGATCCGACTTTGCAGTGATTTTTTGGAATTGAATATAAACATTATATAACCTGCATATTAATAAAACGAACATACATGCATAAGCTATTAACTTAATATGAATTGCAATTACTCGGAAATACGTTGCCGATGCTACTTTTTGATGCAGTAGCTTTCTAATAGTATAATACAGTTTATTAAAAACTATTAAAACTTTAAATGATTCTTTTCATGTTTTAAAGAACGCTGGCTTCATTTAAATTTTCACCCAAAACCCTGGAAAAGGCTTTAAAAGAAATTTGCAATAGTATATTAACTTAAAGCTTCTAAAACATACAAAATTCCCAATCAAACCTGATTTAAGCTAGTTGGCATTGTTAATTTGAAAGACTTATTGTTATATTGAAAGATTATTTACGTTTGTTGGTTGAATTGTGACTTTCATTTTAAGTTTATTTTTTTTAATTTGAGTTTTAATTTAATAAGTTTTAAATATTGTTACTGTTTAACTAATTTCCAGAACTAATAATAAAATTTTTATACAACAATTATATAAGCTATAAATAAATAATGCATACATGTGATGTAGTAGCTGTTACATAGCGAACAAGAATTAAGTATCCACTTTCATGGTTGTTGCTGGTGGCAATTATACGTATTTGCCACGGAATATACTTTATTAAGGGAAATATTTGAAATGCAACTAAATCACAAACAAAATTGTATAATTGAAATATAATCAAATGTTCTTAAACTTCTTATCTGAATCTATATTCTTAAATGTTTTTACTGATTTTTATACAAATTTACCTATATATTTTTTAAACATTTCAGTTAAAATTGATGAGCCAGACAAAAAGAAACGTAAACAAAATGAATCTAAGGAAGATACGCAGAATCCAAATAGCAAGGCATCGGACGATTTTCATTTTGAGAAGTTTAAGAAGCAGTTTAGACGATATTGAGCATAATACGTATACACGCACATATATTTGTATATACATTTATATTTTTATGGCAAAATGTTTTTAACAACTAAAGCTTTTTAATATTTATACAGATAATTTAACCAAAAACGTACACAACATTAAAACTTTAACATTAAAACTTTTTAAATCCATTCACGATTATTTTTTACAAGTCAAGGAGTACTTCCACATATATACCTACTCCATCATTTATGAGACAGTCTATTTGCTCCATGCCACGTGTTAAGACGCAATAAAATTTACACTGTTATAAATATATTGATAAATTATTATTAGTGTCAATGTCTATTGATCGATTGGATATAAAATTGATTGGTCGATTTGAATAAATCTTTTAGATGCGATATGATTCTCAAATTGTAAATCCAAACGGTGATTTTAAAATGAGAATATGCATATAAATTCCTCACTCTGTTTATACCCATTTACCTATATGTATATATATGTATGTGTGTGATTAGGTTGATAAATATGTAATTATAAATGATATTTAAAATTTAATATAAGTAAATGAATGTGTAAATAAATACTTTGTATGAAATAGATTTTATATATACATTTTGTCATTGTAGCTTTTAAATAAAATAAATGTTTAATTCCCCGAAGGAGAAGTTTATTTATTTTTCAGAAAATCTAATTTGATAATTTCATGTTTTATGTTTTCTTGCGGTCAGCTAACTTTGAATTGTTTGACACCTAAAGTGGAAAAAGTTTGTGTATGTGGTTGCATATGCAATCTAAAATTTGACATATAATCAAAATTTTTACAAAAAACACTACACTGATTTCAAATTTTCATAAACCATTTGATGAAACTGAAGATGCAAGATCTTACTACGAATTACCCTCTTGTTTTATATACACTTTCACAAGTATAAATAATTTAAAGTGATTATTTCATTTTTTATTTAGTTTAAATTTATTTCATTATTGTTTATTAGTGAGATGATATTATTTGAAAAATGAGGCAAGTATAGAAACAGACTTCATTTTCGAAATAAACAAGTTGAAAGTTTAATCTAATTAGCAAAATTTCAATTCTTATTAACATGCCACTTACAGTTAGTTCTATTATGAAATCCTATTATAATTTCACAGTTAATTTATACACATGGTACGTTGGTAAGTTTTAAAGATTATTATAATATTCACCTTAACAAAATTACAAAAATAAACATAGCTTCAATATTTCTTCAATATTTAAACATTACACATTAATACAAATATCAATGTGGCATCACTGGCACCATCGAAGAATAAGTTTGATTAGAAAACGAATAACATTTTATTTCATAGAAAATTATCACAAAATTTATAAAAACAGATCAGAATTAATCCTTCATGAAGCGCCGTGACAATTTTCATATTTAAAATTTTGGCGTTCTGAAAAAGCTAATGAAGGGGGGGGGGGGAAGTCTCAAAAAATTGTCACCTCAGGCTTGACATGATTTTAGCCCACCTAGCCATCCGAAACAAAAGAAATAAAAAGATTATTAATCTACAATGATGTCGCAATCGCCCGAACTAGCGATGAGTAAAAAAAAATTACAAATTGACTACTGTTTGAAAAAAGTGCCTTTTTTACGTTTTTTTGAGTTTCTCTAATTTTTCAATAATAGTAAAAATTGGAATTTGGGTATGATACTAGTTCGGGCTACAGATATGTCTATAAACAAGACTCTCTAAACGTTTCAAGTGAATCGGTCGAGTAGAACTCGAGAAATCGTGTCAACAGTACTGAAAAAGTCTGTTCTGAAAAAAACGCATTTAATGTTTAGCGTGAAGTTTTTTGCTGCCAAAGTCATAAAATGATATGTTATACTTTTTTTGTTTAATCTGTCATTCCTGCTTTATGCATAGAACCTTCTTCTACTTTAAAAAAACTATTTTCTGAATGTCTCCCTTCCAATCGAGCAGTTCTAACCTTCTTTGAGCCGTCTTATCTTACAGCAAATGAATGAGTTTCCGGCCCAATTTGCAATACCATAAGGGTTATCATTTTTAAAATCGGAAAGAAACCTTCATTGAATATGAAAACAGCAATAAATGTTGCTATTTCGGAGTTTCGGCGCGAAAATCCAAAGCAACGAGTTTAGAGACTCATTATTGTTCTGAGTTTTTGAACCTAAACATCGAATTAATAATTTATTTGATAAACTGTCATAAATTGGTCTAATGACTTTCTAATGCCATTTGTCCGATTAAACTCTGCCAAACCAGTTTGGAGACCTGGTCAGTAAAATGCCTATATCTCCGAAAATAATTAAAATTTTCAAAATTCTTCACGTAATTATCTTCTTAGATAGTTAAACTTTGAAAATATTAAACCAAAAAAAATTCGATTTTTTCAAATTCTACACTAGAATACTCCCTTAAACCGATCTAGCCGTTCAAAAGTCCAACTCTGGACTGTCTCAAACGTCGAAAAAACTCTGGTTATTTTTTCAGACTTTTCAACTTCTTGTAGAGCCGACGATAGATATTATGCTCTATAAGACCATGATATGTATCGACAAGAAATCTTTCAATAAAATCAAGTTTTTGTTTTTAACAGTTAAATACAAGAAAACGGCATGGCCGATCTTTACCAAAGGCTAATCAGCACGCTGCCCAACCAATATTTTTCAAACGATTTTTAATTTTCTAAAGAATTGATTCAGGTTCGTGGGCTAAAACGTGGATAAACATTTTTACACCTTTTTGCTAATTATGAGGAAACGGTTTGGTTGATCATTGACTAGATTTGAAATTTTTCAAATCTGTTTAGCCGTTTCTGAGAAAACCTCGATGAAAAGTCAAAAATCGGCTCAAATACAAGCACGCAGATGCTTTTTCCGAATCGGTCTCATTCGATTCAAAATGACTTGAAACCTCGACAAAACATAAAATTAGAAAATCCGATTTTTGGGCGAAAAATAAACTGAAAATTAAAAAAATGAGTTAACTAGCTTTCTAAAAAACGTGATTCAAAAATGATAAATGTTTCTAAAAGACTTATCATCTTTTTATATATAAAAGTGGAGCTCGGTATTATGTTAGGTATGCTAAAAGTCTAAAATGGCTGTATGGATTTGGACAGTCATAGTCTTGAAAAATTTATGCTAATCCAGAGATTGTGCAAAAGACCGCGAAAAAACTTTACATTTTTAATTTGAAACTTTTTGTAGAAGTGTGATTCAAATTAAAATAAGATATTATACCTGTTTGCCACCCGGACGTCCCATGTTACCCTGATGGATCACACTATGGGGCAAAAAGTACCAGATATCAAATTTTTGTAAAACAGTGAAAAAACATATTTCTACAATGATGAAGTAGCTGGCAGTCTTACTGAACTTAGTCAGATCTGACACTCACAATATATTTTATATTTGCTCAAAGTCAAATTGGATCTTTGTGCCTTTACCCTGCATATATAATTTTTATTAAATTTACTTTAATTCATGGAATGTTACTTAAAACTTTTCAAAAAATAGGTCAAAGAAGAATACTTAATTTATTATCTACCTTTTCGGATAATTTTGAAAATTTTCTATAAGCTTAGTAGTATTATTTATAACTATACACAAAATCCAGAATCAAAACAAATATGAAAAACTTGAAACGTTATCGATAAATTAAAAGACCAAAAAAGACTTGAACTGGATTATACGTAGATTTTCCAATTAAAATAAATAAAACTTCCAATTTGATTGTATTTACAAAATATGGTCAAAGGAATATATGTTATATAATTTAAATTATTTATTATAATATAAATTATATAATATTAAACAAGTAAACTTTAGAGTTTTATTGTTTTTAGATTACCTCATTGTCTATGGCATTCAAACAACGCATTCTTACACACTTAAAATAAAGTGTCATTTTTTTAAATTTTCTAACAATTGTTTAGAAATACCTTACTTAGCAAAGCAACGTTTGCCGGGTCAGCTAGTTAAATTATAAAAATATAAAAAAAATCAATCAAAATCTCTTCATATTCAAGTTTATTCCAAACTTACATTTCAAACCAAAATACCTATCGATAGCGCTATGATCCAAAGTATGTTTTATATGATATTTTCCAAATCAAAACAAACCGTATTCGAGTTGTTCACCTAACGTTAAACTTCCTACAAAAAGAATTCGTTCTGCTACTTCTTTACAATGTTTTGCTAACGTGCCAAGCTGCTCGTTTTCATCTTTCGGTTCATTAAAATAATAAATCAACTCCAAGAATTCTTGCCGTGTTATCCAACCATCTCCATCGGAATCAGCAAGCTTAAACCTGAGGATGATAAAAAAATAAATTAAGTAACAATATTTCAATATTATTCTCAGCATAGATTAGTATAATTACATATACTCTTCAAGTGAAAATTAATTAATATTGCTTCAACAGATGAATATGGTATTATCAATGAGAGTAGGGTAGAGCGGGGCTAGTTGAGCATAGGGGCAAGTTGAGCAATCGAAATATCTCGAAAACTATTCACCGTCCGTTTAGGCATTATATGGCGAAAAGATAGAGGTTTGGGAGAAATAAACATCCCGCAATCGCTAGTGGCCGCTGGACAAATGAGTTAGGCTCACGGGCGTTTTGTTTATTTTGAGACCAAAAAGTAAAAAAGTAATTCGTCACGAGTTTTCGTCTGGTTTAGTCAAGTGCTATTCATTTTTAATCAGGTAAATGTTATTCTTCCATATAATTAAAGTACTTTTAATATGCACAGAGATTCTGGGTATAATTCTATAATTTTTTGTAAACTCTCTTTTATTTTGAAATTCCGGGTTGGGGTTAGTTGAGCATAGTTGCTAAACTTGTTTTGTCACTAAGACAATTACCATTAACTTCCAGAAATTAATTATTATTTTAAGATTTAAGCTAAGTCTATGAGTAATAATATGAAAAAATAATGATTTTAAACAAAAATACTGAATATAATGGTAAAATAATTCCTAAGATTTTTGTTTTGTTTTCTCTGTAAGTAAAGACTATAAATATAGAACTGGTTATTAAAAACCTATTTTATTTCATCATTAATCGACATTGAACCTATGATTTTATTATACTTTCTTAGTGCTCAACTTGCCCCATCTATGGGGAACATTGAGCATACTTGACTTTTTGCATTTAACAGCTATCGCTCTTAAATTTTACTTATTTTCAAAAAATAGTATTAACACTTTTGTTAAGCGATAAACAACAAATCCATTAAGCCATATAGAAATTTATTGAGACTTTTCATTAAGGAGCTACATCCGTTTAAGTAAAAATTTGCTCAACTAGCCCCGCCCTACTCTAGGTTGTGCAGGTTTTTATGATGCTATATAGATTTGCAAAAACTCCTGTTATTGTTAATTCAGCTTATCATCGTATATTATCGAACAGAAATTCGAACGAATTACTACTCGTATTTCGTATATAGTAA